GTCTCCAACCTAGAAGCGACGGCCTCCAACCTAATAGCGATGGCCTCCAACCTAATAGCGACGGCCTCCAACCTAGAAGCGATGGCCTCCAACCTAATAGCGATAGCCTCCATTCCACAATTGTCTTTTCCGGTTTTACTCTCCGAGTGCACGTGGGATCCTATTTTGGATGGTGGATACGATTGGTGCCAGGAATTCCCCACAAATTATCCTGTTGCCGGAATGTTGCCCTCGGAATCGCCCTATTCGAATGATGCCTTCGATCCACAAGTTCGCCCATATCCGTTGTACAGTACTATATAACTTTGGTCATATTCCGACCCTACGTGAAACAAAGAAATTGTCATTCCTATAAGATCTATAAGCAAGCCCAATGGGGTGCTCTCCACCCTTAAGGCGAGACACAAAACCGTTTGGTAACACAGACGTTTGGAATTCGGAAGTCGTGAACTCTCTCAGGGGGTTGTACCGGTTGTACCCTTTGAGTGATCCTGGAGATGAAAAAGAGATTCAGAGTTCCCAGAAGTGACGGACCCCGCTGATTCGACCAACAAAATAGGCACTGTTGTAACAGTCGTGCACACAGAAACTCAACGACAGATCGAAGTTGCGAAATGAAACAACCGAGCGAAGCCAGGACAAGAGGCACATTGTTACCCCCCAGCCCCCACCCGCCATCCTCCAAATCGCGCAAGGCCGCAAGACTCCCACATGTTCTTTGTGTCACCACAAAAAACGTCCGACGCAGAACAAGAATGTTGTGAACCCATCCTACAAAACAAGGCTAGGCAGCTAGTGATTTGATTTCATCAGCTCACACGTCGAAAAACCGAAGGGGGCACCGCTGGATCGGCATAGGGTTAGGTGATGGGAAAGTGATGACAACATCAATTTGTCAACGTCTTGGAATTGTGGTACAGAAGCTACTAGTAACAAAGGGCATCGCTTCCAGGAGCAAGAAGCTACTAGCAGCTCCTGGCGTTTCTACTGTTAACAAGAAGCATCCTGAAGTATAAATAATATGTTTTTTAATATATGTCTATCGAGTCTTGAAACTCTTGGTGGTCGAGATCGTGAGCAACTTGTTGAGTAATTGTATGCAGAATATTGGCAGGTACGATTGCTGGTGCCCGAAGAAACATATTTGCAAACTTGTCCATTTAGATGTACCTATATATATTCTACACTGGGCTTGTTCCCTCATGTTTTTATGGACAAAACAAGAGATCCGAGTCAAAAATGAGCCTGGTTCATTACACAAAATCTAGACACAGTGGATGTCCTGCAATGTTGTTCTCCCTTATCGGACATGGGAGAACCCTCGACAGTCATGTTGTTCGAGCTACACATGTGATGAACAACCCTTTTTTTTTGTCCAAAAATAAAAAAATAGTCAAAAATAAAAAAGTTGCACAAGTTGCATCACATGAAGTTCTTCACCCACTTTCCACCGACCTGCCTCAGTTGCGAGGGCATGGCGCTTAGCCGCCAACTCCGAGGCCACCCGAGCGACCATCCGCTGCTCCCTGCGTGGGAAACGAGTCGAAGGAGTCGAAGGCGTTCATCCAAATCTCTCTTCAACCTACTGCTTCTTGTTACTAGTAGTAATGCAAGGGAAGAGTTGGATGCGTTCGATGTTCTTTGATACTGAGGGCTGTAGGCTGGCGAGACGTGGCGAGACTGACAGTCTCGCGTCACCCAAAATACGATGGCGGGGCGAATGGCTGGGTCCAGACTTCTTGGGTCCCAGTTCACCGGTCGCCGGTCGACAGCTTTGACTAGACCGGTCGTCAGAGCAGCAACCGGATTGACTGGTCCTGGTCCCCCGGTCCAGTTCTCTGGTTCTCCCACTCCTTTCGTGCAAGCACCGTCCCGCATTTGCTGACTGGCTGGAAAACCACCTGGATGTAGTAGCCCGTGACATCCAATGACCGTATGGAGAACCAGAGTAAGGATATCCATACACATGATATATCAATGTGGCATCCAGTGACATTACTGATATCAAATTCTTCCGCAGATATCCAAACATGCACGCGCAAACACACGCGCACACACACACACACCCCACACATCTCGGGTGATTCTATAAACATCTACGAACCATTGATGGTGTGCCCTTTTGTGATAGCCTCCTATGTCCTGGACTTGTCTGCTCCATTTTCAAGCAAATGCCTACATTGGTTTATGGTTTGTGACGTCACTCCCAGTCTAGTTGGCTGGCCTGGGTATGGATTACGTTAGACAGCCTAAGCACGCTAAGCATGTATCACTTCAAGAACTGATCTGAGATTGGACAAGGCCTGGTGAAATAGAGTCTATAGAGCAAAGGAATAGACGAAACAAGAAGCGATCCTACTTTATGGATCAGGTGATGCATTTGGCTTTTGGGGGAGGATGGACCAGGTACCACGCCGCTCCAAATCTGCGCCTCTCATCCTCTTCCATCGCAGAAAACGGGGCCTACAAAGACCTGTGCTGTCCTGTCAGTTCTATGTCATCTAATGCAAGAGTGACACCCAAATATGTAGACAAACTCACTGCAGTTGAAATATCTATGTCTATTTGGGGTTCCCGGATGCAACATCGACAATCCTGAAACTTGAAAAGTATTGAAAATTTATCTACTTTGCAATGCATAGAATGCTTGTCAAGTTGTAAGCTCCTTGCAAGTTGGCAACTCTGCTGGAAGCAAAGAAATGCGGCGCAAAGCATACCAATGTATGATAATAAGATTCCATGCATTTCATGTAGGGATTCCTGCCAACAGTCATCGAAAACACCGCTCAAAAGCGTTCTTCCCGTGGTAGGCAACAAAACTTGTCTATCGTGAGGACTCGTTCGACTGCAGACCCTGCAGAAGCTGCGAAACCAGATGTGGCTTCTTCGGCGGAGAAGTGCTCCAGTGACTTCTTCACGTGTTTCCACTCATCTACTTGATGCGTTTAAGGTTTCTGCCATTCGTCTTTGCTGGATTTGTTTAGCTGTAGGTGTGGGATATGATGGGGATATAAAGCACATTCATAAATAATCCTGTTGCCTTCCTGGCCAATCAGCTTACATGAAAATGATAATGTTCCGCTATCAACACATTCCCAAACTACACAAAACATGTGTACCCTTGGAGTCTAAGCATGGTTTTGTAGAAGAATGCATCACACACAAAATCGTTCAAGGCGGATACACTGTCATTCAAGCCCCAGTGCATCACAACAATCTCAGAAACGACCGATGGGACTGGCATATGACTCCTACATTGACTCCTTGACGACGTGGACCCCGTTTCAACCACCCTGGCTCTGGAGTCATGAGTCATATGCCAGTCCCAAATGGGTGATTTGTCGACAGGACGGGTCGTGTTTCCTGGAGCGACAGGGGGCCGGACCTCTGGCACCTCAAAGCCCAGGATCCTGTGATCGAGTCTGCCGCTGTCGAACACGGGTAGAGACTCAAAGTCCAGAGTGACCCATGCTGGTGGAGTCCGTTCACCAGCATTCTGTAGCTCTATTATATATATATATGTATATTATATATATATGTGTATTATATGTAAATATGATTATATGCACGCATGTGATCTTCCAAAAGTATCTGAAATAAAGGGATACTCATACTCACTCCGAGCCTACCATGATCATGAAGAAGAACCACCAAGGGCGCCCTGGGGGTTGATGGTTGGAGTGTTAGCTTCACACGGCTTTTCCACTTTAGAGGTGTGGGTGAGGTCACCTTCCAAAATATACTGTAGTAATATAGAAGTCTTTGAGATAACTGAGATAACATATAGTATAGATAACTCACCGAACCACAACTCATTCAGCATGTCTTTGTCTGCCCCAGTCGTAGCTTTCCCCTCGGAAAACGTCGTGCAGAAGGTCATCTGCTTAATGAGTTTGCAAAGCATTGTCTCATGTCCTGCTTAAGTTCTGGCCATCATGTTATTTGATTCCCGTAATTGATCGAACAAATATGCCGCAAGTGAAAATTGTGACATGACAATGTGTGGGAGACTTAGTGACCCGCTTCCAACATCCTGATTTTTGGCGCCCCCACCGACTGGGATGAATACCCAGTCCACGGATCTTCAGTTCAACCTCGGTCCAAGCACTAAGTCCGCTTGGAAAACCCTGGAATCAACTTCAATCACCAAAGCGCATGTCGGTTCATGTTCATGAAATCTGGGCTCCCGTAACAAACGCCAACCTCAACTTCTTTTGAAAAGTACTCCCACAGAAACCAGTGGACTACGACCCTGACTCCGGGTTGGCTTTCGGGGCTTGTACCAAGTTCTACCCTTCCTGCTGACTTTGCCGGAGGCCCCCTCTTGTAGGTTTGTTGGGTACAAGACACTAACATCTCAAAAGCCAGAATCTATTGTCCCATGAACTTGTTGCTGCTGAAGACATGCATCAAAGCACTATCCATCGCTTCACAGTATGAAGTGGGTGGCAGATAGAGCCGCCCCTCCCTGGCGACACGGCTGCCCTGTGCAAAGCTCTCTGAGACGGCAACCGAGCTTGCAGACTCCACCACGTAGTCTGTGAAGACTCGTTGCACCAAGAGGTCCCTCAGAGGTCTAGGAGTCGAGGCGACGAGGATGGGAACAAAGCAAAAAATATAGAATCAACATCTCAACAATAGACTGAACATGATTGAACAAGGTACCTGTCAATCAATAGACAATCAAAAGAGTTCAATGTAATTGTTGTGTTTCCAACCCATGCCCACTGCTGGTACGTACTCGGTACTTCGTCACCCTAGCAGAGCCAATCACAGGATCCAACAATATGTTTTGTGGAGATGTCATCAGATTCAAAACGCTTCAGACTTCGAGATGTGCGTCCGTCCCGCCATGGTCCTTGGACCGCCCGTGTTCGCCCGTGGTCGCCCCAAGTTGGCCCTCCAAGTTGGCCCCAAGAGGTGTTGAGGATACACCCGTGTTGGAGTGAATCGAAGCTGAGAACCGCTGGAAACCTCAATACAAGAGATGTTGAATCCAGGGTGGTGAACATGAAGATGTTCCCGCACAGCGGTGGCTTCGCTTCTTCGGCAAAAACGGGTGGTGTTTTTTGTTGTTCAAACACACAGAGGTCTTTGTCTTGGTTGAAGGGTCGTGCTTGTGAAGAATCGATCCAGCTGGTTGAGTGCATGAACGATGAAACATCTGAGCATGATATCCAACAGAATCGAACATCATGGATGTTTGACCTACGGGATGTCAACCCCCTAATCTTTGACAAAGACCTCTACAGGCTCAGCCTTTTTCTCCAACCAGTATAATTCTGCTGCCAACTACCTGGTGGACATAAACCACACAGGTGAAGCAAATGATTCTCTCAAGCAATGGACACAATAACCACTATATATTCGGGTAAACCAGGTGTTGCTGAACCACTTGACATTTGAACAAAATGTCTAGTGGCGAACGTGTCACACCTTTCATGTCTGATCCAAAGAAGGTCACTTATGCACTGAGCGTTCTCTCGGAGTATCCGGTTTCTGGAAGAAGTGAAGGACTTTAAACTTAAACATCTGGGATTTACTGTGTATCCCATGTCAAAACCCAACATCACTGAATGTCTTTGGAAGAAGCAAATGAGTATTGTGTGTGATGTCTATCTACCCCACACTCCATGTCTTCTGAAATGATTGCATATTGCCTTGGTTGCTTTGGTTGCTCAACTGGCTTCTTTCCTTGGTTACCCAAAAGTAGTGGATCAGAAGATCCATCGAACAAAAAGCTGCATAAACACACAGCCCATGCGAGCAAGCGAGCAGCAAAGACACGGTGCAACCTGGTGTTCAACCGCGTTTGTTTGCCTAATTTTGGTCGTCTCGAAGAGCAGGAGGACAAATATCCACGCTTTACCAGTTAAAGGATATAGATTTTCATGATGCCAATCTTAATGATCGATACATATTTGATATTAGCCACATAGCCGAGTCAAACGATGCTCAAGAAAGCTTCTTCTCTTCCCCAAAGCAAAGAGCATGCGGTGCAACAAATTATGTAACATTACAATATATAACTTGCAATGGTCTTTCAGATGGCCTTGGTCGTGTCTTGTTGATCGAACATGAAGGAAACACTGACGAAACATCCAACAGTTGCGCTCTCATGAGCAAGGACAGTGGTTCCACTCCCAAAAAACTGTTCTTTTCTGTGAATAGACTATTTTTCCACTGAAAGCTCAATCAGGATGTTTTGCCTCTATCCGAGTTTATCCCCAAGCTTTTGGCTCGTTCTTTTGCCTTCCAAAATGCTTGCAAACGCTTCTGCTTCCAGCTTTATTCGATCAGATTCAGGTGGCAATTCCTAAGAAAGCCTCGAGTTTGTTGAAGTTCCACAAGGGTAAAGCATGGAAAAGCCAAGCTATAATCCATGTGAAGTGTTGAAAATAGCTCCTTAGCACTGTGAATGGAAAGACTCCACCCTTTCAGCTCTCATGTTGCGTTTCAATTCGGAAAGTAAACAATACGAAGTGGAAGAATCTGGAAGGCATGTCTTTCTCTCCAATTCGGGGTGGTATCAAGCTGCGAAAGAGAGTGATATCTTTCTCTCCAGTTTCGTCTGCTGCTTGCTACGCGGTTGCTACGCGGTGCACTCCGGCAGCCACCCCAGGAGCCAGCGGACATGGAAGAACTCCAGCGATCATGAGACGTAATGCATTGTACAACCGAAATCATGCTACTCGATCGCTGCTTGCAGTACCTGAAGTAGCTCTGGACCTGGTGCTGAAACAATTCAATCATTCTTTGAAAAAACACAGGCTGGACTTTCACGTGCCTTTTGCCATGAACCGTGATTGTGATCATAGACTGAAACACATCCATGCACATTTGGCACGTGATGCAGGAAAGAAAAAGTTCCTTGGCGGTCGCTCCAAGTCTTTTCGCTTTTTCTGGCTCTTTGAGAGTTGGGGAGGCCGATTCTTCCATGACTCAAGTCTGTCGGATGCCCATGGGAAGACGTGAAGTGAACAAGTCCACTTGGAAAGCCGAAAACGATGGTGGATACCCTCTTGCAGCCTCCTGCACTCATGATACCGCTTATACGGTAACTTATACGTAGAGTACACAGTAGACTGACGCGCGCTGTAATTTGCTTCAAGCAAGCAGTGATTTCAAAATGGTCCAGCTGAGCCAGCTGATGTGGAGGCTCAAACCAGCTTCTTTTCTCAACCCTTTGAGATCTCAAATTATATATATAGATTTTATGTAAATGTCCAATGTTTAATAAATTCAGTTACAAAGGAAAGGATCTTGTCTCAATGACTGAGACCAACAGATGGCAGTGTTTGTTTTCACACTTATCTCATGTCATCATCCCCTAGACGTGACTGCAAAGCATCATGTGGCCATTGTGGGCTTCTCATGACCCGAGCAGCATGTCTCCACCCCGTCCGCTGGCATCCCGAAGAACACCACTTCATTAGGATTGCTACAATCCTGAACCCAGAGGAGATGAGCCGCCAATTTCAGTGTCCCAAGCAGCACCCAAAGTATCCCGACTTGGACTGAGTTCACAATCACTTGTTTGCAGGCAATGGACTAAGTCTTGTCACAAGCTAGAGATGAAGTTGCTCAACTTGCGCAACAAAGGCAACCTCAAGTGCTAGGAGTTGCAGCGGTTGATTCTTGATGCTGTGGCCACCTCCAACACCATTTTCCCAGATACGCCGAACTACAACATCTCTTGGTAGCCATCGTCATGCTTCGGGTGCGGCGCTTGGGTTCGCCCAGACTTTGCAGTCCTTCGCGGGATCAACCCAGCAACCACGAAACCCAGGAAAAGCTCCACCTACCGCATGCATCCGCATGCCACAAAAAGAAAGAAGCGTCGCCTCCAGTCGTGATCTCCGCTGTGATGGGTGAAGCCGCGGGTTCGAGTTGGACCCGAGGATGTCATGGACGACCGGATGTCAACCATCGGAATCGGAGGGGATCCTTCTTTTCGACAGATCCTCATTTCAGGTGTTCCGTCATGATGCGGAACTCCTCTGTGCTTCCTCGTGTGACCGTGTGGTCCGGAGCAAACCCCGCTGCTTCACAACGAAGCAGCTAGTAGTCAGACTCACAGCCACAGGAAACAGCAGGGGTGGATGCCATCTCTGGAAAGGAGAAGAGCACCAGCAAAACACAAAAATGTATATGGAACATGTGCGCAAGCAGCTCCACGTGTGCAAACTCATTGCAGTCCGGTGACAATTGAGGAACAGTTTGTGGCGGTACATCGGCACGTTCACTGGTATCTTACTCGTTTAATGGAGTTTTAGATTGGAGTCGAACGACATGAACATGGATAAACTGGCAGTTCTTCTTTGCGGTTATCAATGGGGACCGCCGGTCAAACAATCTGCCACTGGCTTCTCTGAGATCCAGAAAACACCATAATTCGTTGGCTTGGGAAAAGTCCTTCTGAAAGCCGGTCCGCTTCATTCCTGCCGGTCCGGTCGTTAGCGGATTGAACTTGGAAGCCGCGCGGACTGCACATGGAGCTTCTGAAACAATCTGATTAATTGAAACCTAGCAAAACTGCCACCCATTCGATTCACCTCTTCTGAAGAAAAGCATCGAATGCACCCGGAGTAACTAGGCGCTTTGAGGCTTCTTGGGCCCTGTATTAGACCACGTAAGCCTCGTGAACACGTCGTAAGCGTCTTGGCTGCAACCAAGACAAATTTCGATCCATGCACCGGGGATGGAACCCCTGAGTGCCTGGTTGCTAAAACTGACTCTACAAGTTCACAACTTTTCTCGAGTGGCCTCATCTTGAAATAAAAGGTATCCGCCCAAAGACTCCCTCTCCTCCGTTCTTGTTTGGTGTTACGCCCCATAAATAAGCATGCAAAGTCCTTGGACTGTAAGACCATGGGCCTGAAAAAACAGGTAATGTCTCAGCATGTTCATCAAACGTGTTCTATCTCCAATACTTACCAGCGCCAGCAGCTCGGCGTTGTTTTCACGTGTCTCGTGCTTGGCATCTGCCTAAAATGGTGTCCCCAAACAGTTTCTTCGGGAGATCTTGGACGGATTCTTCGGGAGGACACCCACTGTTCCCCAAAAGGTGTCACACTGTCCCACTCCAAGAGACGGCTCCTGTTGGCTAATTTGGAATATAGATTATAGATATTTTAGAAAGAGAAAACGACCTGACATAAGAGATGGGTCTGAAAATGAGAACATGGTTAGAAGAAAGACACCTCCTGCTCTCGTGCTCTAGGAGGTACGACTCGTTGATTTCTGCCGATGTGCTTCTTGAGCCGTTCGCTCGCTTTGCTCGCTTCGCTTATCCTCGCTCTCATGGCCTCATTCACTTACCGATGACACACCAGGAAGCTTCAGGCCAACACTCAAACCTACCCTCTATTCAACAAGCATTGAAGTAGAAAAGTTGGTCCTTGAAAGACGACCTTTCTTCTGACAACAAATCTACCACTTCCATGTTAGAGGGTGACCTGGAAAGGCTTTTCTGACTGAATGGCAGACAGTTAGCAACTGCTGAATCAAAAAAAAATATATATATATATATGTATGTTAGCATATGTACAGTGTGTATATATATATGTATACGCTCACCCCCCACGATCTACCTTTCCCTGCTTTTCGGCTCTTCCACCTTTTCCTGCATTCCCTCTCCCACTTTTCATACTTCTCTGCTCATCTACCTTTTCCTGCTTTTCAGCTGCTTTGCTGTACTGGGCTACCCCTGTGTGGAATAGATTCTTTGTAATATGCGATTAAACAAATGGAATTTAATAGGTAATCAATAAGCTATTGAAGAAATTAAACAAGAAAATAACAACACACCATTAAAAGTAATCAACATAAAACGAAACGAGGTCAAAGGGAAAGAACCAAAAGGAATTCAAGAAGGAAATCAATACAAACCACAAGGAGCTTTCAAGAAGAGAATTCACAAATAAAAGTAATGAAACATAACAAGCATAGACATCATTGCAGGGGAGTTGCCTTTTTCCAAATGTCATACGAGAGTAAAGTGCAAACAATATTTGAGAGGGGTAATATCATTGAACGATGAAACAAACGTAGACATTAATCCAGGGGTGTTATTATTAAAGCGAAGAGGGACAAACATAAATGTAGAGGGTTGTCTTATTCAGGATTTCTAGTGTACCGGGCTAACACCGTTGTGCAATAGTGTTTTTGGTAATATGATATCTACATGATATCTACATACCCTGTGGTGATTGCAAGCACGTTGAAAGAACACTTCGCTGTCTGAGAGAATCTTGCGAGTAGAGTGCGATTTGTGCGCCGGGCTTCTAAGTATCGAATATTGTCTGTGTGTAAAGCGGTGGCTTTCAGACCAGGCAGTGACCACGCACAACTCATGTCTCACAAGTGTGGCCCATGGGAAGGAAGATTGACTAAGGAAAGGCATGGGATCCTACGTGAGGAGAATAGAAATGCTCCACGGTTCTCCAGAAACGGAGTCAAAAGCCTGGACACGACTGACACCACCTGTTTAGGGGCCATGCGAGTGTGTGAAAGAAGTCACCTGGACTGTAGCTGGGGGAGCGCTGGGCATGCCGTTGATCAAAGAATTGGGGATATCAAATTGTTCAAATCTACTCAGTGGGGTAGAATGGCTGCTCACTGCCAGGGGCCTTTATGCTATTCCGCTTTCTTTTGATTGATCCATAGTCAGGCTGCCTAACATCGCTTGTCTTCGAACACTCTCGAGACTCTTGTTCCTTGCGGCCGAAGCACGATGCCAATGACCTGAGACAGGCGCCTCTTGACCACCAAAGTCACTCTCAACCAGGCCGCCATGGGAAGGTGCATGCCATTTCTGCTGCATCTTGGCGCCGTGTGCCTCAATCAGAGGCGAATAGCATTGCTTTCAGCGTCAACACGAAACAGGTCGAGTCGAAACCCTCTCGAGTGAACTTAGACGGTGAATGCCAGCAGCTTTGTGGCGTGGTGTTCAACTAAACACGAACAGGGACCGGAATCATGGATGATTGCCGTCCAACACGTATTGCTGGTATCCTCCAGTTGGTGCCGTCCATCGAGGTTATGTTAATGTGCTGATGGGGTAGCCTGCTAAGATTAAAACTAGTCTGAACTGGTGTTGCTATAACTCTGTTCTCAAGATGTTGGATGGACATGGATGGACTATAACTATGATGGACTGATGTCGCGTGTGCTTCTTTTATGTTCAGTTTTCCAAGTGCCTTGTTTAGATGTGTAGTCTCTACGGTATAGATATGTCTAGACTATAGATATGCTATGCTATATAGATATTGCATGATATTGCTAGATGTTTAATCGTTTTTGACACCCAATCAGGCACACAGGTATTGAGCCTGTGAGGTCCCTCCATCTTTGAGATTAGACTGGACCGACGTAAGGGTGGTCTTTGGCTTGTCTCTTGTGCAGGTCACATCAGTGATCAAGCCCGAGCTGTGGACCACATCACACCCGAGCTGTGCCCGATCCAAGACTCGCCGTCACAGAACGCCGGAACGACCACCGCGGCCCGTCCTAACCCGGCGATTAACCTAGCCCGTTCCGTCACGCTCGGCCCCGGCCTTGAGAATATGCTCGGAGGGTGAGTCCAAGCCGAGGACATCGATGAGCCGTCCGCTCCGCATGAGGACTGGTCCAAACGCGATGGTCTTTCGTCCCAGCTTTGGGCAGCGAGATGTGAACCCGATCTCTCTTGAGCCGAGGTCGCCGAGGTCTCCCTCTTGACAGCGAGTGGTGTTTGTTCATGTTCCAAGGCTCGGCCAACACCCTTTGGGAAACGATCACCGGACCAAGAAAGCTCACAATGAGTGTAAGTGTGTTTGGTGAGTGAACACAGCATAGCCAATACTTATTTAAATACTGTTTTCATGTGGCCTCAACATGCCTCAATGTGGCTTTCGGGTGACAGGGGCGTCTTAGTAAGCTCTCATGAGAGTGATCCAAGCATCCTATGATCTTTGCGTACTTCACATGCTCTTGGCCATGGAACGAGTCAGCATCAAGCCGGATGACGTGGAGTATCGCCAAAGTAGACTGCGAATTTTGTGTGACCTGACAATCAAAGCCTGGCTCCCACACTGACGCACAACACCTGATTCCCCGCTACCCACATTCAAAAAGGGAAACCTGCCCCGAAATGCCTATGCATCCCTCCCAAGCTATGCCTATGGCCCACAAAGACTCCCACTAAGAGCCCCGACTCAGAGGCTGATTCTTTTAAGCCAGTGGCGAAGGTGGATGGCCGATACTCAATGACATTGGCGATCACACCTCGCCATTGGTCGGTACCCAAAACATCCGAGCGGACAGCAGACTTTACTACGCTGACAACTCTTCATTCTACAAGGCCACTTGAATCGAGAGAATTCTGCTTTGTTTGTGTATTCAAAAGGCCTGTGGCTGAAGCAGTAAAATGCACAAAGATTGTGTTCAGAAAATCTTGCATGTGTTGCAAAAATCTTATCATATCATATCATATCTTAGCTGCTTTTTTTAAAACGGTATTTGGCCTCGATGTTACATGTGTCGATCCGTCTCCTTTGTTGAATGAACCATGTCTTGACATGTGTCGACGAGCGTCGACAAGAATGGAGAGTTGTTTGTGTTGACGGGTGTCACCCCACAGGCCTTCTTGAATACAACCAAATTCTGTTTTCTAGTTTCATCAATGCAGGGGAGGCCAACTATTGCTTGGGGTGAAAAGGAGGGACCTGGATCCACCCGCCAGGGAGCTCCAACCTTCCTTGGTTCAGGTCTCCAGGTTGGCACTAGTTCATACCCATGAGTCCCACCAGTTCATCCTTCGTCCAGGTCTCTGGTAGTAGGTCCTTCGCCCGCAAATGGACTGATACACCGAGAAGATATGCTCAAGAATGGGTGAGAAATCCTGATCCCTGGCGGAGGACCGAAGGACCTCGCAAGCCAACACAAGCTATTTGCCTGAGTACGGGACTTTCCTGATCTTTCTGCTGCAACTGACAGACATGCTTTCATGGCAAACTTACAGAACATGCTGCCAGCCTTGCTCTGAATCAATCTCCTGGCCGATCCTCCTCGCAAACGGCCGATGGACACGACGTGGAGGAACACATCCCACGGTAGAAGCGAGTGCAGAGGCTACAACTCTTGGAAGGTACTGTATTCGCTATAAAACGAAACTTGCCAAAAAAAGAAGCAACCATGGGCCATGGGGATGATTTCAGGAAGCATGACAACTGTCTGGTACTCATGAATATTTGAATGAATTTGATTGGGATATTTCATGGCAATGGAGGAATCTCTCCATCGTGTCTCCTGGTTTGGGTGCTACAATCTCAGAAACCCTCTCTTCGTTTCGAAGGTATTGAGTTGCCAGGTCTTCTACATTGGGAGTCATCCTCCACTGGCTACTCAGAACATGCTGGACCCAGTGAAAACAGGCGGGACCGCATAGTTTTGTCGTGAACGACAATCTCACTGTGAGGTCTGGCTCCGCCCGAGATGGACACGATCGTCGACTATGCCACAGAATCAGAACAGAACGTCCATGGACGTCTATGGTATACATGAAAAACACCCAACTCGCTGTTTGACAAGGCAAACCTGTTAGGCAAACATTCTTTATATAGCTCCACGTCAGCAAGTGTTCAGAAGCGGAGTAGGCTAGAAGATCTGCTTTGAACCACTTGCTGACGACTCACTCTTCCGGCGACCGACTCGATCCGAACTCCGGTCCCAATGGAGGCGAAGGGCGAGGTGGGGATGCTCAGAATGTCCTAGGGCCGGAGCTGAACGACTGTGACTCGAAAGTGTCAGCGACAGGGGCACAGTGTCTCTTTTCTGCGACCTGCCGTGTGACCAAACGGTTGCAGCCCACGGAAAGTAGCACAAGGTAGCATGTGCCACGTGACCCACTCGACATGAATCCTTCATGATGCAAATGCAGCATCTGATGGTAAAACCTGGAGCTTGTGCTTTGCTCAAGAAAGATTGCTTGGAGAAAACGTCTAGTGGCTCCAACAGCGAATTCCCCATAAACCAGTTTTGACCACTATTTGGGGGGTCCATCTTGATGTGCGAAGTGGAACCTCATGCGGTAGCTTGGAAGCTTCGTCAATTCAGTGTCTCAAGGTTCATAGTTACCAGGACGTGCCAGATTTCCGTGGATTTCCAGTAAGCAAGCCGATGAACAGGATTGTTGATGTGTTTTGATACTACTTGGTGGTGTTGATACTACACGAACGACTTGCTGTAACCCTGGCGCGCAGTAGGTGTCGAAGTCCCATTTTCTAAAGCATCCTTCGGCTACCACAAACACAGTCGTCCAAGTATCTAAAAAGGTGGTCTTGGATGACACGTACCTTCCTGGGGTCATTAAGTACCTGCTTTCAAGCTGGCTGCTACAGTTTGATGATTCAGACAAACAAGCACCCTGGGATAAAACTCACAAATCCTGTCAAACACCCAAAGATTATATTATGAAATATAAAAATACTTATATAAAATATGTATAAATATGTAATATAAAGTATCCCTTCTCAAACTAACTTTAGCTTGAGAAAAGGACACCGTCAACCTTCGTTCACAAAGTGTGTGGCTATGTACATCTGGATACATCTGGCATCACCTGAATCTGGCCGTTCTTTTCCAACTGTTTGCCGCTCGTCCATGGGCAAATTGTTGACAACTGGGCCGACCCTGACCTTCCCAACATCAATCAAGAGGCCGGTGCATCAGTGTAGATCAAGGTCCATTCTCCACCTCAGACTGAGAAAAACGGCACCTTGTCTGTGTGAAGAACCCCAACCCAAGCAAAACAGGTGTTACCCGGTGTCAAGTCCAACATCTTTTGGTGAAAGCATACTGAAAACAATGAAAATAATGAAAGAGAAGGATATGAATCTATGCAAGCGTGAAAGGAGTCTGTTGTTCAAGTCCGTGTTGTCAAAACGAAACAAAATACTCCACTCACAAAACATCACATAGCTGTGGTTCAAGAACTGGTCGAGCACCAGGGCTCCAACCGAAACGGAATGGTCGGTGCAAACCAATGGAGCGCAACGCGAAAATCTGGGTATAGATGGTACGTACCTGGTCACCCTACCAGGTCACAATACTAAGACAGAATCAATCCTACAGGATTCGGATCCTAGCGTCTTCCATGTTTCTTACTTTCTTGTGCCAGGTCCCCTGAAGTCCATCAATGTTCTGTCTTTTCCGAGGTCCTAAGGCAGAATGCGCGAGCATATCATCGAGTGGATCATGCTCGCACGTGTTTCTGTGACTTTGGTCCGATTTTCCTATCCCAAACTTCAAATCATGCAATGCTGGAAAAAACACATGTTCCTATCCATGCAATTCTGCCCAAACTTCGAGTTGCAAGTCGAGTCTGATCCACTTTTGAGCGGGCTAGGTGAAAGTAAGCACCAACCAGTCGCTAGGCCTGTGTTTTGTTGTTGACTTGTAGAGCTGAATCTGTTGCTGCCGGAGTCAGAAAAGTATGAGTATGTAGTATGTATACCCACTATCTAGACGCTTGTCGACGTAGCGTTTGCCTTTGACACACCACAGTCTTTAGGCAGATACGTGTTTGGTCACTCACTGTATGTCATCAGATTAATTTAAACAAAAAGAATACAAAAGTAATTGGTTGGCTTTAGGATTCAGGTCTCGGGATAAATGCAGTTCAAACCTTTAGGCACAAATCCCAGTTACTGCACTGGATTAGATGTAGGAAAATCATCGTATGATCGCCGACTCAAAGCTAACAGCCCAGCCAGCAATGTCGTTTGTAACTTATTGTAACTTTCATGAAACTTTGACCCTCATGTTGAGATGTGATTTTAAAAACCAATCGCTTCGTGCACTCGTGCACTTCATACAGGTGGTGCCTGTCTGGGTGTGGCTGTAGAGAAAAGCTTCTGTGTCTCATATCAGAGTGCGTCGGCACAGGGGTCAACTGGGTCCGGAGATTTAGCGTGGCCCCCTATGCGGTCGCAATGTCATATCAGGTGTCCGTGGATCTTTCATCCAACAACAAGCAGCACATTTGTTGGCCAAAGCTAAAGAATAACAAAGAGCTAGAAAAAATCTGGCCATGTATTTAACATCCGCCCACTCTTCTTCTAACTCTCACACAGAGAGGCGAATTATTGCTTTGGACCACCGTGGTGCCATGCACCAGCACCGCGGTGGAAACATATGGAAACTCACGAGGGAAGCGAAGGAGGAGCCAGCTCCACTGCGAAGGAGGAGCTGCACCGCTGGTCTTGCGAGGCGAAGGAGGAGGCATTTGCAGAAGCCGCTGCTATTCATGGAAGGGATGTTCTGCTAGGCTAGGACCCCTCCAAGAAGAACACAAACTCATGATCAAAGGGTCTATGCTTCAACATACTCTGAACAGAACGTGTAGTAGTATATGGGAAAAAGACCAGACTCCCGAAAGAACTGACCTTGGAAAAGGACAGGTCGACTAAACCCCAGTGGTTGGAGGGCCTCCTACCACTGCTAGCCATGAGTAGCGGCCATACCACACGTTGACAGGCCGAACAATCCATATGGTCCATGGTATCATGGTCACATTCGGAAGAACAACCCTTGACCCTTGGGAAACGACAGGCGAACCCTTTGCTTCAGATCCCAAACTCAGTGTCCGATCTCAAACGCCAGCTTGCGAACGGTCTCGCTGACGAAGAACACAAGGAACGGTCTTGGGAAAGGAACGGTCTTCTACCTTTGCCCGAACGTAGCGATGCACTTGTTTCTAATAGCGAACATTGCTACTACTAGTAAGGCACTTGTTACTAGAAGCTATGCACTTGTTCCTAGTAGCGAACATTGCTCCTATAGTACTAATGGATTTGGAGAACTCTAGAATCCGAAGTGCCCAAGTGCAAGGAGGATCAAGAACCCTGACTTTTTGTTGAGTGATCGTAGTCCATGCAAATGCCTTCAGAGCGGCATGCAAAATAACACAATATGAATAATTTTCTGTTTGGCCTGGAATTCTTTGGTGGGCACTCGGTCTAAAAAGCCTTGTCACCAGGCTTGTCCCTTAATTCTTTTCCAAACAAGGCCTTCCACACAGCGCAACCCTTTCCTTCTTCCGTGCCTCAACCGTTGCGGCGGCGTTGCCGCGAGGGTCCGCCCTGCCAGGCACCTCAGGCGTGCTGAAACTCACCACACCACGGACCTGTTTCGTGTCCAACTGCCAACGACCACCCCAAGGCCCTAAGGTCTTGAAGAAAGAGAAAAAGGACCAGTTGAGTTTTCAAACAGGTCGCTAATTGTTTGTCTCCTGGAGTTGACAGATGTGATCACCTGTGATGTCATACAGTAAAGCAGATGTTTCATAACCTGCGAATGATCATCGATGACCACAACAAGAAAGGCAAGCATCCCGCCCCACCAATCACCACACCATGGCATCTATATATCTATTTAGCACCCCAAAGCAGCCCAAGGTGATTTCCAAATCACATCCCAAAATATCAGCAAAACCTTCCAAGCACTTCCAGCTGGCTTTTAAAAGCCCCTTCACCTCCCCCGAAGTTCTTCGCTTCCATTCAGAAGCCGTGCCCAGTGTTTCTGCCCTTCGTCCCGCTGCCACCGCTGCCACTTGGTCTGTTCCGAGTGGCCCTCGCGGCTCCAGGTCTTCGCCCGAACTCCACAGCGCTGCAGCTCCGCGCGTAAGACCTCCACCGCCTCCTGCCGCGGAGGGTTTTTTTGAAGCCTCGAAGAGTGAAACGCCTTCGCCCATGGCCGTTTCATGGTGTTTGTGTGTTCGAGACATTGGTTCGATTTGGATGGGTTTCCACCCTTGGTGATTGTCCAGAACTGTTTGTTGATAGTTGATGTTCGGGACGAAATGCGACATCCGGGCTCTCCCGAAATAGTCACCTACTTGGAAAAAGACTGTAAGGAACCCAACATTAAGTTATATATATGGAAAGAAACTGATCACCATAAATCGTTATGTTGTTCTCCATTTGTCCGCCAATTTTGTTGTTTGTTGTACAATAGGATGTTTCCGTCAAGCATAATAGCCTCCTACATGCGTCCTTTGCGGACCATGATGTTGATCAAGTTGAAGCTTCCCACGACAAATTGATGAAGGAAGTGGAAAATGACCTCTGGGAAGATGTTATATCTGTTTTTTGCAAGCAAGGGATCTCCCTTCCAAACATGGAAGTTGAAAACACCCTGTTGGCAATGGAAAACCCTCTTGCAAGGGACCAGTCAGATTTGCCGCTGTCTTTGGGTGGTCGAGTTTTAGAACTTTATGGGGTTACTGGCGGTTTCACGCTGATGGCCGTAAATTCTTGTCGTGCCAAACGGTTCCTCCCAGATGGATGCTTATGAAGTCTCTCCAATCGAAAGTTTGGGCCGAAACTATTTTTCCCAAAGACTGACGAAAGCATACAAAATCTGCTGCTTCATAGGCTTCATAGGTCATGGGACCCAGGGTGATGAGTTTGAGTTGGCGTCAATCTCCGTAAAAGGCTGTCCATCAAGGCCTACATATACCTGCACAACATGTGTGTGTACCCCTTGGAGTCACAGGGATCCAGTCGGATTTATTCAATTTTGCAGGGGGCACGGAGACTGATTTCCTATCCGTGCCAACGAAGCTACGGAAATCAGTTGGAAGAGAGTTGGGACGCCAACTCTTGTACCTGCACTTCAATTTGGTTGTGCTGTTGAGTAAATTATCTTCTCTTCTAATTGGACAGGCTGTTTAGGTAATTCTGAGGTCTGCAGACTTGCACGGATCGCCGTCATCTGATCGATCGCTCACTTGATGCTTTGAACACTCTGGGCCACCTTCTGTTCACCGAGACCTCCAGGATGGACTCCGGACCACCCTCACTTGCATCCTCAGGAATATGGTTACCTAGGCGTTTTTGTGGCGAGCGGCATTGAGCTCAGCACGCATAATCTTGAGTGTGTCTGTCTTCATGCCAGCCCAGGGTGACGCCGACGAGTGTCCACTGCCGTGGAAACGCACGTGCCCAGAGCGGGCGGAGTACTGTAGGCTTGTGCCAAAGTCATTAGCCAAGATTTGACGGATTATTGCAGTCCAAGTTGGCAGTCTTCGGACAAGCCATTAGGTGACCGCAGCGGTCTTGAGTAGGCAGCCCTTGGGCACGCCACTACGTCACTACGTGGTCGCAGCGACCAAAGCTTTTCAAGGTTCATCGGAACCTGTCGGGACCTTCATCCCCTTCCTCCCCGTTCCCTCCTTTCTTTTCTTTCTTTGCCTTTTGGGGTATTCCTGAATGCAACACTCAAGTACACCGCTCTCCTTGGTGTGTCCCTGGACGCTTGTTTCGTAGCTGGGAACACCTCCTTCCTCTTCTTCCTTCTTCTTTCTTTTTTCCCTCTCCTCTCTCTCTCTCTCTCTCTCTCTTTCTCTCCTTCTTTTCCTCCCCTTTCTTTCTCTCTTTCTCGCTTGGGTGTCCCTGGAAGCTTTCGTCATAGCTGGGAACCCTTCTCTTCTTCTCTTGGTGTGCCCTTGGACGCTTGTGTCCTAGCTGGGAACACCGTCGTTTGCTTTCTTTTCCTTTTCTGTTTTCTCTTCTCTCCCTACCCTTCCCTCCCTCGTGCGCGAGGTGCTTACATACAAACGAGGCTTTGCAACAGGTTTTTAAATGAGGTTTGGTTTCATGTGTTCCCGTCCCTTTCACACACCTCTGTCTCCTCTTTTCTTTCATGTCTCTCTGTCTTCATGTCTTGTCATCTCATCCTTTCTTTCGTTTGCG